GGTTCTCTGTTAAGCCTCACTAGACAGAAGTGCTCAAGGCACTATGTGACCTGCCCCTCTGTGAAAGCACACCAGATGGCCTCACACTTAGAGATTTCCACGCTACCTAAGCCGGTTAAATCTAACGGGATATTCCCTAACGGCTAGGAGCTCCTCAACGGAAAAGCTACTGTAACATCCCAAAACTTATACTTCATATAGTTCAAAATAACAAATAATAAAATATGTGCATGCAAAATTTAATAAGAAGTGATTTAGTTATTAAAAATACAAATAGGTAAAACATAAATGTATACAATTAAGAATAATATTATCAAAAATATATGAGTACTAATAAACGTATAAATAATGTTCGATGATGATGATCATTTAATTACGTAATATATATAAATATATTAGTGTATTACACACCTATAGACGTGTATATTAAATGCATATGGGAATGACATAGGAGCAATTAGTTATCCTATCAATTTAATATATATTTGCATGACACGTGTATAAGAAATGCGTGCCTCACATATACATAGGTGAGCAATTGGCCAAATACTAAAAAGAATAAAACAAAAGTTACATGCAGATCAAAACAACTTCTTTTCACATATGCATGCATAAAAATACAAACGAATTAGAAAGCTCATTCATTAATTCAATATATATTAAAAACGAAAAATTGAATGAAGTATGCATATCGAAGTAAGTTGATTTTAATTGAAAATAATTATTGTCTATTAGAGATAAATGGTTCGAGTAGCCAAATCTAATTGTGAAAATAATAACAATAATAGTATAGTTTCCGAATACCTTGCCACAATATAAATTCTTTAGAGATACATAAAAATATAAATAAATAAATAAATAAATAAATCTAAAATGAGACAAGGTTGACACTTGGCTATTCCATGCATATATTACAAAGGAAAGGGAATGACTCATCACATGCATAGGAGAACACTCGGCAGATCTATTGGAGAAAAGAACAAAAAGAGTAAGTGTATTAATATTAGTAGGAAATAACTACCTAGCCTTACAATATAGAATGGATTGCATGAACATCGTAAGGAAGAAAGGAAGTAATAAGATAGGATGAGATTGATGAAGAGAGACTAAGGGATTGTAACGTGTGAGACAAATTTTGGGATTTGTAGAGGTCTGTGTTCATTCCTTTTCCTAAATTAATTATATGATTATAATCTAACATTTTACTGTAAAATCTTATGCTTGTTTATCTTCTTAAATTAAATCTATTTCATAATTATATTGTGGTGTCTTGATATGTCATTTAACTATCCCGTTAAATAAGTTATGGCTTGATGTATAGTTATAATTGAAAAGAAATGTATCTTTTTAATCATATTATTATGAGAAGATAACTTCTTATTTTCTGATTTTATTTATCAAACTGAATTTGACTACTTATAATAGCAAAAACAAGTAAATTTAGATACTGAAGAAATTAAAGGTGTACTTTTTATGGCATGGAGAGGAAGCTTCTTTATCATTATATTTTGTTTATAATAAAGGAAATCCATTTTTTATAATAAGGAATATAAGTTCGTGATCAATATATACATATAAATAAAAAATAATTATTATGATTATAACAAGCTAGAATTCGAAATCAGTAGTAGAAGGATTAAGAAATTTTCAAAATTCATCATGTACGTACATTAAGTTATATATCCAAAGTTAAATACATGAATAAAAGAATAAAGATTGAAGTGTGATTTACAATAGTTAAAATGACGCCAAAAATTATATGTTTATAATGATGTACATTAAAACACGTACATAAAGGAAACAAGTATGTTCTGGACATTAAACTCTGGGACACTATGATATGATAAGTTATATTTTAAGCTGATTACGATGAAATCAGTTTGAAATGAAATATGCCAGTAAAATGATTATACGAACATATAAGAAATAATACCAAGTATTTTATTGAATAACTAAAATAAATGGAATTCAAAACCTCGTTTCTGGATTCGGATAGGTTGGCATGCCAATAGGGATAAAACACGGCCGTAGAATTTGATCAATGATTTCGGGTCCGTAGCCACCGAGTGGACAGCACCCAAATCTTGATATTTGATACACGCGCGCTCCTATACGGGTCCGTAGCCACCGAGTGGACAGTACCCAAATATGTTCGTTTACAGGTTCGTAGCCACCGAGTGGACAGTACCCAAACGAACCTCGGCCAGAGCCACCGAGTGGTCAGTGCCAAAATAGTTCTCTGATGGTCCGTAGCCACCGAGTGGACAGTACCAAAGATGAGAACACCCCGTTTATCCAGTCCATTAAACTAAGGAGTAGAATTCCAGAAATGTGATAAAAAGATAAAAGTGTGAAAACAGACAATATGACGGGGAATGAAACTGGGCAAAAGATGAGAATTGAGCAAATGAAAATTTAAGAGCGAATGCCGAAAATGAGATGAAACTGTGAAAATGGAGGCAGAAAAAATGAAAGGAAAATGCACAAATAGAATTATGAAAATGAAAGAATTTGAATATAAAGATAAGAAAAACGATAGGAGAATGTAAAACTTATATTCAATTGATTAGATTTTGCTCGTGAATTAATTATTCTGAAATAGGCTAATGTTGAATAATACGAGACAAGGGGATAAATTAATATTGAGTAATAAGTTACGATTTTACGATAATATCCTGATAGGAAAAGTATACTTTGAATATTGATTTATATGCTATATAGAAAATTACGACATATTAACAACTCAGATATATTACAATAACTACTTTGAATAAAATGCAATATAATGAAGTAGTTACCAGCGATTATTCCGTATGAACGAAATGGTATTATATGTTTTCAAATGTTTAATTTGAATTGATCTATTTGATGCTCCGTATTATTCTTGATATTAAAAGTTTAATACAGGAATGTTGTAAGGGGGTTGTACCGTATTACATATTCAATACGGTTTAATAGCTATCAAGGATTTCATATTATATCTGGTTTATAAGCTAGTCATAATGGAATTAGTTGTGCTTATAAATAACTATTGAGATTTCAAGGAGTTGATTTTTTTTATATTATTATTAAATGAATTGGAAAAGCTACTTGAAATGAAATGTATTCTTTTGATATTTAAAATTAAGTCAAAGGGTAAAATCGTTCTTGATAAATTTCTATTTTCAACACCGTATCAATTATATTTGTGAATGTCATTCTTAATTGTTGAGTTATTTTGTTAAATTTGATATCGATATTGTATGGAGAAAGAATGAGCACCACTAAGCAAGTTTTGCTTAGCGCGTTGGATTTTTTTTGTCCTTCGCGTAGGTACGTAGTCGACGAGGAAAAGTTCAAGGAGAAAAGCATTTGGGAGCAACCTGCCAATCAGCACAGAGTCACACTTGCATTTAGTGACAATTTAATTTTAGTCTACATCATTCATGTGTAGTAAGCATGTTAGTAGAATGTAATAGCAACACTTAACTCTTTAAGTGTTATGTATAAAATATGGATGCTTCCGCAATTATGAACTTTTATAAAATTACTATCGTTATAATTTGCTTATTTAAAATAAAAGTATTCATGAGATTTTGTTGAAAAGAATGGAAAAGTCAGTCAACGCTTTGGTGCTTCGGCACTGCGGGTAGCGCTCCTTGCCCGAGCCTTCCGGGCCGGGTAGGGGGTGTTACAGCTACAGTACAAGCATTTAATGCTCATTTAATGAGCTCCATACGCTGAGAAATTAAAGCTTATGATTGACCGAGATTCCTGGAGAATATTATCCCAAAATAGCAACTCGCCTACCTTGCGGGTCCAACCGGTCAACTCTACAGTACGTGCATTTAATGAAGTTGTCTCCTTCCTCCAACGGGAAGACAACCCTAGTACGTATGATACTTCTTGAAAAATCATACTCCCTCCGGTTTTATTTAATCTTCACACTTTGACTTCACACAAAATAAGGAAAGAAATTTGACTTTACTGTAGAGTACACTGTTGAGGCACTGTTTGACACTGTTTGGCACTGTTGAGACACTGTTTGGCACTGTTTGGCACTGTTTTGATGTAGATTTCTTTGCCAAAAAAGGAAATAAGGAAGTGTGAAGTTTATTTTAGACCGTCCCAAAAGAGAAAGTGTGAAGTTTATTAAAAACCGGAGGGAGTACATATTAGGGTATGTATGATTTCAAAAAAGCTTTCTTGAGATTTCAACTTCATCTTCCTCAACAAGAAAAGCTTGAATGTTGGAAAGATATTACTTCACATCCTCTTATTCCAACAAAGAGCAAAGTTCTTCCAGTTCTTCAACACTTCAAGCACCTCATCTACACATCTTTTGTGATGAAGCAAGTTGGAGAAAACCCCTGTTTTACAAATTATCTTCTTTTAAAGAAGGACGTCCAAAGTAGCTGGAGTGAGTGAAGTGGAGATACTTCCAAGGAGACTCAGTGAAAGGACCAGTCATCAAGAAGCAAAGAAATGCATATCGGGTGACATCTAGGCTTGAAGAAGACGTGGAGAGCTTCTTAAGTGCCAGGACTAAGGCTATGTAATTGGTTCTTTATAAGCTTAGTAGAACAGTGGAATAGAGGAACACGTTGTTCCTTGAACCACTATAAAAACCTCTGGTGTCATTTACTTACTGCTTTCAATACCTTCTTTTACTTTAAACTGCTTAACTCCAAAAGACTTTGTCTCTGTGTTCAGCAGAACTAGTCTTAAGAGTTAACAGAAGGCCTACTGCCTTTGTACGCTTCTGAGGCTATCCGGACAGAACCCCTACCAGAAGACCATCCGCTGCCAGTCTGTTCTACCAACAGACAGAATAAGCTATTATGTTAAAACTGGTACTTAGCTTGAAAAAGTTAAAAACCAGAACAATCTATTCACCCCCCCCACCCCCACCCCCCCCGCTCTAGATTGTTCCTTGTGTAAACCGGGACCAACACGTTTCAAACCTGTGTATCGGCCCAGTACCATATCTACCAACAGACAGAATAAGCTATTATGTTAAAACTGCCACTTGTCACAGCTGACACAATAGCTTGTCCTGTATTAAAAACGTGCACACACATTAGTGGAAAGCATGTTGAGTCTGTTGGAACAATTACTAAGGGGGGAATGCGGAAACAAATAGAAGAAACTGGAAGAAAAGATAAGAAGATAAGAAGATAAGGTCCCTATTACCTTGGACATATTTCAATCTCATATCAATCAAACAAGACTTAATCAGGTCACATCATACCAGACTTAAACAAATCAAACCAGATCAGACAACAAATAATACTCCCTGGTTCCGTATTACTTGTCATACTTTCTTGTTTGTGCTGTTTCAAACTACTGTCTCATTTCCCTTTTGGAAATGGTTATTTAAAAAAAGCTGCTACATTATACCTTCAGAAACTGTACAGTACCAAAAAGTAAAACAATCCCCGAAAAAAACCCTTTCTCTTAACGCTACAAACATTTCATTAAACTATGTAACAACTATATATTTTTATTGGAAATTATTTATAATATAAAAAGATATGCAAATGTTAAAATATATAACTTCCATAGTATTATACTCATCAAAATCATGGTCCAAACTTTATAAGATGGCAAAGTTTTTTGGGACAGAGGTATATCATACCAAACCAGAACAAACAAGACAAGGCTAGATATAAACAAACCAAACCCTACATGACACAGACACACTAGAGTACTAGACCAATTCACACCAGACTAGAAAACTCATGTCTAAATGAGCAGGTCCTAACTTTCCTTAGCCATTTGCTTCCTTTTAGAAAATATAGGAATTTGGGATCACATACTGTGGATCTCTCTTTTAAGTACAGGAAGGCAGTAATTGTGTGGGTGCAACCCGCCTTGAAACAAAGAATTCCTGTTTAGGACAAGATGTTGTGGAGTGATGGTAGCTGCAACATATCCTATAAACAAATAAAAAACAAGTCAAACTTGAGCAATAGTTATTGAGAGTAAAGTGGGAAAAGGAAAATTTTAGTGATAATACCTTCTCGACAAGATTCTACAAAATTCACAGCATCCAAGGTGGTGACGTGCTCCATCACAATCTTCAACTGTGGAAGCCTTTGCACCAAAGGCCCTAAAACTGCTTCAATAAATACCTTTTCTCGATCAAATACATCGACCTCAGGGCTCGTTACCTCTCCATGGACCTGAAGTTAACATCTCTTATAGCTAAAGATTCCATTTGGATCTCGGAAAATGCTATAGAAAGAAAACAGGGAGGATAATATATGAAAAACTTGGAAGGAAAAGAATGTGGGGGATATAACAAAACATTGGTTCAAACTCAATGAGTTTATTTTCAGTATTCGTTCACTTATTTTACTTAGTTATTTTTATTACCTAAAGCTATTTTGAAAAGGTTAGACAATAATCACATTTCATTTTCGTATGCTTATCTAAAGAAAAACCAAAGACAAGAAACTAACATTCAGCAACTGTTTCCCCATTTCCCTAGAATTTTATTAGATCTAAACATACCCTAATAATGAAGTAATCCGCCCTATTATATGTTCAATAGCTTATCAATGTATCCGATGAAGTTGTGGCATACTATTGAACCTTTACATGAAATCACAAAAAAACTACGTTCCTGAGGAGGGAGACTTATACCAGGAGAGGCATATCTTGCTCAACCATTTCCTCAAGAACTGGCATGCATTTTCCAAAAAGATCAGTAACGCCGTCCTGAGAATTTGTTGTAGCACCAGCGGGATAAAGCTTTACAGCATATACAACCCCACTCTGCCCTGTGATATGTCAGCACAGAACTGGATGGAAGATAGATAAAAAACAATTTTTGTATATATATAACATGCCGGCAACATAAACTACTCCAAATCAATTAGGACAATTAACTCACGGGCTTGTTTAATTTCAAGAGGACTTGTTGTATCTGTTAAATACAGTGTCATCAGTGGCATAAAATGAGAATTAGGAGCCAATGCTTTCATGATGGAATTCCGATATGCGACAGCTGCAGCAGTAGTGGTGATTGGAGGTTTCAAATTCGGCATAATGACTGCCCTTCCAAAGTTAAATGCACTATATCCAATAAAATTAAGATATTAAGGTGTTAAACTACATGCAGCAGAGATGGGATAGGTTAACATCGTATATTAGTATTCTGTGAAGTTTATGGTTGATATTACTAATTACAAATGTTCTAAAAGACGCTAGTCGGGCGCCAGCACAGCGCCTAGCGCCTAGCGCCTAGGCGGGGACTACAGGACTAGTAGGAGACATAGATATTATATTTTTATCAATATTTTTGCATAAATATGAATAATATGATACATAATATTGTGTTTTTGTGTCTATATATACACACACACATTAACATGCACGAATGATAGAATAATCACATTTAATAATATATTATAACTAACCACTTAACTTCATTATGTAATATATATTAAATAACATTTAATATAACATTTAAATAACATTTAAGAATATCTACAAACATATATAGTTTATATCTTAATCTACAAATAGCTTTCTTCATATCAATGGTTGAAGTTAAAGGTACATATATCTCTTAGAAAAATAAAAATAAAGTCGGCGAATCTAGACACTGTAGGTGGCCACTTAGGACCTCTGGGGGGCAACTAGGCGCCCCCTAGGTGCCCGACTAATTCTCCTAGGCGCCAGACCAATTATTCGGGACGCCTAGATAGTCGTGGAGACACGTGCGCCTTGGAATAGTATAAGAATGGCTACGCATAAAAAGAGCTGTGAAATGAATTAAAAGGGATGATGTCAAATACCATAGCCTATAGTACCATACAAAGTACCACAAGCTCCATAAAAAGGGGTGATGTCAAACACCTAGCGATGATGTCAAGTTACCACAAGCTTCATAAAGTTTTGCGGCGTTAGACTTTCTTAGACCTACATGATGAAACTTGCACATATCATTGAATGGTTAGGTAGTATTAGAAAAAGACTCCAAAGAAATACAGAGAGCATGTGGGAAGCGTAGTAGATGGAGCGCATAATGGTTTGATTTGGGACTCAAATTCGTTCAATTAAAAACATATACTTTGTATCTTATTTTAATTTAAGTAAAACCCCGATACTATTTATCTAGGATGGGTTAACTTTGTCCAAACAATGTATTATGTGTTAATTTCATCATCAATCAATCACCAAAATCAAAAAAGTACACTGTGTAGTAGAATAAAACTAAAAAGGAATGGATATTGGCTAAAATGTGCCCAATATATACTCTGTATTAGTAAAAGAGCTTGAAAAAATGGCAAACTTTAATTAACTACAACAAAATAAGCAAGCTAGCTGTGAGCCGTGGAGGGCTTTTGAGCAGCAAGCCTGCCGGTTGACCGGCAGAGCAAAAAAGCACCCACCTCTAGGCTCCAACACACAGGAGACTTGCCTATTACCTCTCGCAACTGAAAAACTTGAGTAGAAAAGCTCCATAACTCATGTACGTAGTTTACCACTTGTACATAGCACTTATCCCATGCATCACTATCGGGAGGTTATAACCCATGTTCCTATCCACTATGTCAAATTCATGCATACACCATGTATATATTGTGATAGCCTCTATACAATTGAATATACAATTTATTCATTCTTAATCTCTTTATGGTATCAGAGCTCTCAATCACTTACGATTGTATATCTCAGTTATGCCTTCTTCAACCTCCCATAATTTCATGGTTCCAATCACTATTGATACTTCCTCTCAATTAATCTCACTTAATCCCGGCCCTCCTCTCAAATTCCCATCAAATTACCAATTCACCAGAACAAATTCTTGTCCCGATGATATTGATCCGGCCTACGAACACTGGACACGTCAAGACCGGCTCATCCTTTTGGCTATTCAATCAACTGTTGCCGTTACCATCAATCCCATTATTAATTCTTGCTCGTCATCGGCTGATGCATGGAAAAAGCTTGAATATAAGTTCATTAACTACACGTATGATGTCTCTTCTCTCCTCTCTAATGACCACCAAAAAAACGGAAAAAGTGTTACTGAATATATGGCGGTAATGAAAACCTTCATTAATGATCTAGCTACCATTGGTCATCCTCAAAGTACCGGCCAGATTGCAACTTATATTCTTGGAGGTCTTGCCGGCGAGTTCAAGGACTTAATCAGCGCCATACACATTCTTCCTACTCCTCCGACATTTGAACAACTTCAAGACTTTCTTTGTGAAGCCGAGACTTTAGCCGGGGAATCCTCATCGGCGTTTGAAACTCTCCTATTACTGCACAATTTTCTCAAGGCTGCAATGGATCTCGTGGCCGTGGGGGATGTGGCTGAGGGGGTCACTCTAATGACTTCTCTGGAACCTCTCATCAAAATAACGGTGGCCAGATTGCACTCTCATACTGTTAGACCGTGAAAGTAACCTCACAAACCAAGCTGCGAAATTATTTTTTAGGGCTCACATTCCATCCATGGTGCCTGGGGCATGCAGGTGCCATTGTGTTCCTTCCTGGTGGCACTCCTTACCCATCTCGGGATATCGCCAAGCCAGATGACCCCAAATGCGAATATGTTCACGAACGCTTTTGTTGCTCGATGTAAGAGGGTTTCTTTCGACCGTCCATACCCCTTTTCTGTCACTATTTCAGGTGGAATCGTCCTAACAATAAAACAGATGATGATGGGTTCATATCACTTTGCCAATCATCACGTCGTAAGCTATTTGACCAATATACAGATACAATCAGGAAGTGGCAGAATAAATGGGTGTGGGAGTCTGCTCCCATCCTGTCCCCCGTCACGTTCACTTGGGGTGGTTTGGTGTGTTAGTATAAGTCTGTTTCTCTCACCTCCAATCTCTCACATTAACTTGTCTATAGGTAGCTTATCTGTCTCAGCAAGTCACGGATATTACATATTATCATTCCTTGCCTTGTGAATTTATTGCAGATATGGCTGGCAACAGAGATGAACCTGCCGCCCAGACAGCGGCGCTGGAGGCCACGCTCCTACCTTCAACGTCTGGTGCGTATACGGTTCCACATGATCTCGGAAAGAAGTGCAGGGCTTCCCCATCTCGTGAAGAGCAGGTAGCCAAAAACAGCAAAGGTGTGAACTTCTTTCCAGGTCGAGTAAGGGGAGACAACTCGCCAGAATAATCCCATCTCACCCCATTTGTTTTCTTACAGGTAGGTTAGGTAGGACTCACACATTAAATCCCGTAGTTGCGGTGCAGGATGGTACATCCCAACCCTCGATGCCTTATGCAAATGAGGGTCCGTCGGATGCAAACATGTCCGAGGTAGATGTCGGGGAAAAGTGTGGAGCATCCCCATCTCATAGAGATCAAGTTATCAAGAAGAAGAAAGGTGTGAATCCTCCCCTCAAGCCGGGAACAGAGAAATAATCCAACCAGTACAAGTCTAGTTCACCTCGTTTATTTTCTTGTAGAGGTCGTAGGTATGAGGGGCACACTCACTGCTCTGGCCGCGGAGGAAGATGCCAAGTCTCGGCCCTCAAAGTCTGAGGCAATTCTGCTTATTGCGGAGAGAAAATGTAGAGCTCCTCCCGTCGATTATCTGACTCCCACTCCCAGCATTCCATCGATCTCGAGTGTGGCGTGGGCAGCCGTCATAGTTCCATCTTTGATTTTCAGGAATCATGATTATTTGATATCTTCCCATATCTTTAACTTGGTGGTGTGCTCTATCGAATCTCACAACGTAGTAGGTCATATTACCCCAGGTGAATATGTTGTATCCCTGTTGTAGGTCCAAACATCTATGTGGGAGGTAATATGACTTGGCATGTCTGACAAATTCCAAGCTCTTAAAAAAAATCAAACATGGCTCGTTATGAAGCCTGTTTAGTGGCTAAAAGCTTTCATCAATGACCCAGTGTTGATTTTACCGACACTTTCAGTCTAGTTGCTAAACCAGCTATCGTTTGCACTATCCTCGATATTGTTACTATTCAGGAGTGGTCTATTCGCCAACTCGAGATTGATCAACAACCAATTTGTTTCATTGATTAAACTCTCGTCCCACTCATGTCTTCCTTCTCCATAAGGCTCTTTACGGCCTTCATCAAGCACCAAGGGCTTGGTATTGCGAACTCCATTCTTGCTTTTTACAATTTGGATTTACAAATAGCGACACGGATGCTTAGCTATTTATATATCATTCTTCTGGATGCCTCATGTACCTACTAATTTATGTTGACTATATCATTGTCACCAGAAACAAAAACTCCATCATCACAACTTTTCTAGATACCATTTCTCTCCGGTTCTCTCTGAAAGACCTGGGTCACCTTTCCTATTTTCAGGGTTTTGAGGTAGCTCGAACTTTACATGGCTTATTTCTCACCCAGTCTAAATATACACGTGATTTGCTCACTTGTTTTCATATGCAAGATGCTAGCCCCACTCCGACTCCAGTATCCCTGTAACACCCCGGCCCCGTAGGACCCGAGGTAGTTACTTCGGACCAATAGTACTGTCCTCACAAACCACCACGAGCCTTTACCGCGCACTTTGTCCTCACTCATGCGCGCCCTGAGAAACTTCCCAGGGGGTCACCCATCCCAAGACTACTCCCGTGCAAGCACGCTTAACTTTGGAGTTCTTGGGTGATGAGCTCCCTTAAAAGGAGATGCACCTCTGTTGGTATGAGTAGTACTATTAATCCATTTATATTAAATCTTAAGTGTTACAATCACCCCCACTTAGGAACGCAACGTCCTCGTTGCGCCCATAAACCAATCTCAAATCTCAATCAAACCCCAGAATCTTTTCCCCTGCTAAGTGTCTGCCCGATATCCAACGGATCAGCACACTGTCGCAGGGTTGCTCTGATACCACCTGTAACACCCCGGCCCCGTAGGACCCGAGGTAGTTACTTCGGACCAATAGTACTGTCCTCACAAACCACCACGAGCCTTTACTGCGCACTTTGTCCTCACTCATGCGCGCCCTGAGAAACTTCCCTCTAGGGGGTCACCCATCCCAAGACTACTCTCGTGCAAGCACGCTTAACTTTGGAGTTCTTGGGTGATGAGCTCCCTTAAAAGGAGATGCACCTCTGTTGGTA